ATGATGCTTTCCATTTAGTGACACAAGTCGACAGAAGTATCGTTCTAACTTTATTTTTCACTGAATATCAAGAAAGATAGAATGATGCTTGTATCGACTTGTGTCACACTAAATAGAAAGCAACCATAGTCTTTTAAACTCCAATGAATTTCTAGGTGCATTTTTCGAAGGCAAATTCCGTATCCTAGATTTCTTACAGTCAAGCTTGAATTTGGTTTGGAAAAAGGAAACCTGAAAATCGATTTTGAGACCATCGAACTTATTCCATTCACGCTTCCTGATCGATCCTAGACTTCCGAGACTTCTAGGAAGGCACGGCGCGGCGCGGCCAGCACACCAGACTCATCGACTGGCGATGCGTCGTCTCTAGCGGTGCTTTCCTACGCTATACAACGCTCGTGGTATAGGTCAGTGAAGTAGGAGCAGTTCCCCCACCGCGCCAGCTCCTAGACAACGGGTCTACGATTGACTCATCTAGCCAGTCATACCGCGGGTAAACACGATCCGCTCCAGCTGTTCTCTCGCGCTCTCGGGGCCTCTTGCTACTCAGCTACTACATACCGCCTTCCTCTCACTTCTCTCTCTCTCTCTCTCTCTCTCTCTCTCTCTCTCTCTCTCTCTCTCTCTCTCTCCCCCCCTTCTTTCGCTTCTTGAGTGCGCTCCACGTTTCCTCATGCGTTCCCGCGTGTTCTATCCGCGCATATATACGCGTACTGCTCGAGAACAACGGCTCGAGAAATTCTCCGTATTTTTAGAGCCACCTCGAAAATCTTCTGCTCCCCTACCGTTCTCCAGTTTTTCGTTCTCACCTTTTTCCCCTTTCCTCTCCTTCTCTATTCCTCTCTTTCTCTCTTCATCCTCAAATATTGCTTCATTTCTCTCGCGCTATTTATACCGCACGCCTTTACAGTTATTGAAACCTTGTCGCGTTACGTCGCTTTTTATCACCAGTCAAAAATGTTTCAGTGGATTTACATGTTATCACATGTATCGAGAAATCGAGAATAAATTCTTCTCTGTTTTTATCTTTTATTATGTAAATATCGTGAATTTAATATCTACTTGCTACTTTCGCTTGGTGCTCTTGACTTGAACTGGTTTACAATTATTTTCTACGTAGTTCAATCTTGCAATCTTATTAGAGGCTTTCGCTCATGGTATAATAAAGCAGATTTCTATCTATTCACTTCTTCTTTCTTGGCTCGAGATAATTTTGCATAATTTGTTAATACCTTCGCATTAAACTGTTTTGACATAAACGTGTACTGCTCGAGTAAACGTGTTGTATATAAACGCCGTTATTTCGAATGACTTGTATTTTCCTACCCCATCACTCTCTGGAGGAAATAATACTGCCAAATAAATACTCTCCCTCGCTCGCTCCGGCGAGCCTCCTCTCGTCCCATCAGTTCACAAACTAGAAAACCTCGAATAATCGCCCGAGGAATCGTTCAACCACGCGGGACTCCACGAAACTGCAACGCGCTAGAAGGATGAGGAGGCGTCAGAGAGAGAACGGGGAGAGAGCGACGGGAAAGGAAGTGAGAGAGAGAGAGTGAGGGAGGGGGGGGG